TCTTGTTAAATATATATAAGTAAGTATCAGTTAAATAGATTCTAGGACAAAGGATATTACAAGGATAAAGAGGGACATTTCATAATAATAAAAGAGTCAGCTGATCAAGAAGGCAAAAGAATTCAAGTGAGTATACACCTAACAGCAGAGCTTCCAAATTCACGAAGCAGAATCGAACAGAACTAAAAGGAGAAATCGGTAAATCCACAGTTAAGAGTTGGCGATTTCAACAATCCTCTCTCAGTAATTGATGAAATAAATAGGAAATCAATATAGAGATTTGAACACTATTAACTGGCTTTACCTATTGATATTTACAGAACTCATCCAACAGCTGTAGAAACTATAATTGCTTTAAATGCACATGGAACATTTACTGAGATATGCCATATGCTAGGCCATAAAACAACTCTCAGTAAGTTTTGAAAGATTGAAATCACACGGTTTACTTTCTGAACATAGCAGAATTAGAAATCAATAACAACAACAACAACAAAAAGGTATCTAGAAAATCCTCAAGTATTTGGAAATTATGTCTAGGTAACCCAGAGGTCAAAGAGTAAATCACAGGTGCAGTTTGAGAATGTTTCCAACTGAATTAAAATGAAAACACATCATCAGGTTTAAGATTAAAGTAGTGATTAGAAGAAATAGCTTTAAATGCTTATCTTAGAAAAGAACAAGGTTTAAACGCAGTCATCTGACCTCCCAACTTAAGAAGCTAGAGAAAGAGGAACAAAGTAAACTAAAAGTAAGCAGAAGTTAGGAAACAATAAAGATGAAAATGGAAATCAGCTAAATAGAGAACAGTAGAGAAAAACTTGGTGCCAATGGCTGATTCTTTGAAAAGGTGTATAAAATTGATAAACCCATAGGTAGACTGATTAAGAAAGGAGAGGGACACAAATAATATCAGGAGTGAAAGAGGGGACGTGTCTACAGGGCCTACAGATACCAAGAAGCTAACAGGAAAGTTATGAACAACTTTATGCCAATACATTTGACAACTTGGATGAAATGCACAAATCCCTTGAAACATAAATTATAAAACAGACATAAAAAGAAACAAAATCTTCAACTAGCCCTATATCTGTTTAAAATTTTTTTAATTTGTAGTTAAAAATTTTACTGCCAAGAAAAATCTAGAGCTAAATGGCTTCAGAGGTCAATTCTTCAAACATTTAAAGACAAAATAATACCCATCTTACACAAACTCTGAAAATAGATAATAGTTCATTTTAAGAAACCAAATCCTGATTATCATATCATAGATAATGAATGACATTATTTGAAAAGAGATTAAAGACTTAGTATCCCCATGAACATATATATAAAATTCTCAACAAAGAATTAGGCTATTAAATCCAGCAATATTTTAATGTGTAATACATTATGACCAGATAGGATTTATCCCAAGAATGCAAAGTTGGTTTAATATTCAACTATCAGTCGATATAATTTATCATAGGATTATCTAAATGGAGAAAACTCATTTGACTACATTTAGCACCTATTCATAATTTAAGGAAAAAACCCCACAAAACTCAGCACAGTTGAATGGAGCAAACTTCTTCAACTTGAGGGATTATAAATGAGTATTATGCATAGTATTATGGGAGGAGACAAGCCATGTTAAGGACCATTTATGTATCTGATAAGATACTTACTGGATAAGATAAGATGTGATCACCAAGTGAGATACCAGAAGTGTTATTCACAATAAATCAGATGTCTTTAATGTTGTATACAGGTAGTTTTTTTTTTTCCCCATTTTTCATCTCCGGTTTCCTTTTACCATACCTCTTCAGCATTGTACAGAAGTCTAGCTAGTGCAATAAGGCCAGAAAAAGAAATAAAATTAATAAGGATTTAAAAGGAGGAATTAAAACTATCTGTAATCACAGGTGACATAATATACAGGAACATTTAAAGGAATTTACAGAAATGTTTAGAGCTCATAAATGAATTTAGAAAAGTCACAGAAAAATGGTCAGTATTCAAAAATCAGTAAACAAATGGAGGGTGAAATTTTTAAATGCATTTATAGTAGTATAAAAAATAAATTCTTATGGATACATTTAATGAAAGATGCAAGATCTATTTACTGAAAACTGCAAACCTTGCTGAAAGAAATCCAAAAATACAATGACAGGCCAAGTTTATGGGTTAGATGATTCAAAATTAAGATTAAATTCTCCCCCAAGAGACCATTAGATTTAATGCAATACAAATCAGTTACCGGCAGTTTTTTTTTTTTAATTGACAAAAGCTTATGTAGAAAGAAAGCAAAGAATCAAAAAAGCCAATCTTGAAAAAGAACAAAGTTGGAGGACCTGCACTGCCTGAGTTCAACACTTAACTGTGAAGCTGTAGTAATCCAGGCATTGGTATTCCTGTACATCTTGAAAATGAAATCTAGATACTGTGAATCTTTGCATAAGCCAGCATTTTAAAATTATTTCAACAGCAAGTATTTTTTGAGCTTAAATCTATGCTTATTATAGGATGAAACAAGCCATATTAGATACAGGACCTTTTATATATCTGATGTTTATTGGGTAAGAAAAATAAGATGTGATTATGAGATGACATTATTTCCATTTATGGAAATAAATGTCATTCACAATACACAATTGTGTCTTTAATGTTACATGCTAGGCAGTTTTTTTCCTTCTCTTTATTGTTGTCATATTTTCTCTAATGAATATATACTAAATTTATAATAGAACTAAAAAAACTTTCTTTTAAATTGATGCTTGTAGAGAGTAAGATTTCTACTACAAGTTAGTCTCCTAGGGGTTAGAGACAGTGACTCATGTTGAATGGATACAATTTGGATGTGGGCAAGTGAGAGGACATTTTAGATGGAGAAAACCTCATTCATTCATCATATGAGTCTGCATGCATATATAAGAATGAATATAACAAATCCAAAGTCTCATGGACTTTATGTTCCTATAAGGAGAGGTAGACACTAAACATCATAAGAAAAATACGTATCATCTTATATGGTGATAAATGCCAGGAAGAAAAATAAAACAGGAAAGGGAAATAGGGAGTTGAGGGTAGACTACAATTATAAACAGGGTGCCCAGTGAAGACCTCTTTTGAGAAGCAATTCAATACAAATAAAGGACATGAGCGAGTAGCCCATTTAGATATCTAGGAAAGAGTACTCTAGACAGAAGAAACAAATTTGTGAGGCAAGCACATGCATACTGTGTTTGAGGAAATCACTGGTATAGCTGGAACAGACAGAGTTAGAAGGAGAGTTGAGGGGGAAGGCAGATTATAGAGTCTTGTCGGCAGTTTTTAGAATTTTGTCTTTTATTTGAAATTATATGGAAAGCCACTGCAGAGGTCTTTGAACAGAGAAGCGACATGTTCTATTTTAGGTTTTAACAATACCATTCTGGATACTTTGGAGAATACACTGAAGGGACACAAGGGTGGAAGCAGAGAGACCCATTAGGAGGCTATTGCAGTAATTCAGGCAAGAAATAATGGTGGTTTGGATCTAGTTAATGGAGGTGATAAGAAATGGCCAGATTGGTGTAAATCGTAAAGGCAACATGATTTACTGGCAGTTCAGGTAGGGAGGGACAATGTGAGAGAAAAAGAATTAAGGACGACCCAAACTAGGAAAACAAGAAGAACTGAAATACCATTAACTAAGGTGGGGGAAAATGTGGGAGGAATAGATTGGAAGGATATTAAGAGTACAAGTCTAGACAGGTTTGATTTAAGTTGCACCTTAGACATCCTAGATACAGCTAGGATGCAGCTGGAGTTTATGTTTAGACTTCAGGAGAAGCGGTCTAGTGTGGAGATAAGAACTGAAGGATGAATAGCATGTAGATGTATTTAAAGCCATGAAACTGGATGAGATCACTAATGGATTCAAGATATGAAAGAAGAGATCTGAGGACTGAGTCCCGAGTTACTCCTGTATTAAGAGATGAGAAGAGATAAGGAACTAGAAAGAGACTAAAAAGGAGCAGCTGGTGAGGTAAGAGGAGAACCAGGAGAGTATGTTGTCAAGGAAACGAAGCAAAGCATTTCAAAGAGGAAGAAGTGATCAACTCTGTTAGATGCCTTTGATAGGTCAAGTACAATGAGGATTGAGGATTGGTCATTAGATTCCTTGGTGACCTGACAAGAACAGTTTTAAAGATGTGCTGGGTGAAAGGCTGATCAGAGTGGATTTAAGGATGTATGGGAGTTGAGAAATTGGAGACATCAAGTTTTATGTAGACAACTGTTTTAAAAGAATTTTGCTGTAAAGAAACATATAGATGTGGTCGCTAAGGAAAATTAGAAGTAAAAAGAGTTGTTTTTATTTTTTAAGGGAGAATAACAGTATATTTATACACTAGTGAGAATGATGTAGTAGAGAGGGGAAAACTATTGTAAGAAGAAAGTGAGAACTGCTGGAGTGATGTACTTTAAAAGGCCAAGGCGATAGATTTCAGAGCACATATGTAGGGTTTGGCTTTTGCTAAAATCAGATATGTATTGGGGATCACCAAAACCATCCTCAGGCTCCATAATTCTCCAGGAGAACTCACAAGACTCAGCATATAGTTGTTCTCATAGCTATGATTTATTACAGTGAAAGGATACAAAATCAGCACAGAGAAAAAATGCATGGTGTGAAGTCCAGAGAAGCCAGGTGCATTCTTCCCAGTGCCCTCTTGCAGGAGAGTCACACCAGATGCATTTAATTCCTACAGCAGTGAGCGTGACATGTATGAAATGTTGTCCATGAGAGAGTCCTATTAGAGATTCCGTGGCCAAGGTTTATACTGGGGGCTGGTCATGTAGACATCGTGTGCCTCTGTGCTTTCCATGTACTAGAATCCCAACCAAAGGATGAAGGTGTTGAGCATAAACCATATTGTTTGCAATACAATTTCAGCAAAATGAGCCATTCTTACCATTTAGGAAATGATGGGAAACCTCCCAAAATCTAAGGTCTCAGACTGCAGCCCAGAGCCAACCTTATATGCAGTCCACTCTAAGGATAGCAATCTCAGGCCTGTTCTGTTGACTCTTTTCTGCACAAGGTCCAATTTATTCATAGTAAGAGGAGAGGAAGGATCAGTTTGGAGGGTGATAAGCAAAAGTTTGGTAATGAGACTGAGGATACTGTGTGGAGACAAAAGATTTTTTAAAAAGCAATATTTTTAAAATAATACATGTAATTGTCAATGAATAAATGGAATGCTGGTTTCTTTTTAAACCCAGGTGCACAAGGTAATGTGATAAGATACATCAGTATGATGGGGAGTATATTGCTATGGCAACCATAATTGTTCTGGTGGTTTTGTGATATTTCCAATTTCAAATAAATGATCTGACTTCATATATCATATAAAATCTAATATTCTTGTATATGCCAAATACAGTTGCACCTCTTATATCCAATATAAGAAATGGTAAAAACATGATTTGCTAGACAAGGTGTCCTGTTTTTGTTCAGAAAACCGAAGCCTAGCTGTTAAAAATGCAAACCACAAAATGGTATATATACTAGTTACGAGTATATGAAAGTGTATTTCTATTATCTTATGATGGGGAGTTATATAAATCATTTAATTTTTGTCTATAAAATTGTTCATATGTATAGAGAAGTATTTAGTGTATCTATTTTGATACTAATCCTTAATCCATGCCTTGGTGATTTTTTTTCAATAGGGTCAAGAATTTGCTCCAAAAAGTGTGGCAATAATTGGTCATTCTATGGGTGGCCTTGTTGCAAGAGCATTGCTTACACTGAAAAATTTTAAACAAGATCTGATCAATCTTCTTATTACCCAAGCCACACCTCATGTTGCTCCTGTGATGCCGTTAGACCGTTTCATTACAGGTGAGTGCTGTTACATAAACACTGACTGACTCCCCCACTGTTACTGAGGGCAGACAAATCCTTGCAGCTGCTCCCTTTAGAATACGCTGCAGGTTTATCCATGTGTGAAGCCGCTTTGCTTTACACTGGCACTGCTAATTTTGAGTATCTCTCTTTTTGTGACTTTCAACTTAGGCTCATAATTGAAACTGCTGTTAGTTTTCTCCTCTGTAGCATCTTAACATGGAGGGCACGTGTCTCAGAGTCTCTAGGTATTTGGGCTTCAGTTTAGTTATTCTGGAGGATGACTCCTCTATCTCAAAATGTGTTTAAACTTCCTGTGTTTCGTTAATGGTGTTAACTGTTCTGAGTACTATATTCAAAACAAGCTTGTATTTAAGTAAATAGTAGAAATGCCTTGTTTTTATTTATTTTTGATTTTTGATTTAGTTATTACGCTTTATTTGTGGTGTTGCAGTAAATATTAAATGCAGAATCTAGAACAAAATGTGTATGTTTTAATGCACCACACAAATGTTTTCATTACTGAAATACATTTCATCATTTCACTGTGTTCCTTAATAGATCTTTTCAGTCATAGCTGTCTTGAATTTGAATTTCAAGGGCTTATTTTTAAATAAATAGGTCTGCTAGGTCCTGGGTTCAATCCCCAGTACTTCCATTTAAAAAGTAAGAAAATAAATAGGTCTGCTAACACTTTATATGGTGAGGTAGAATTGCTAATTATAGAGGTCTTACTGTATTTCGGGTATTGTGGTAAGAATTTTACATGATCATTATGTCATTTGATCCTTACAGCAGTCCTTTGAGGTAGGCACCATTGTTATCCCCGTGTTCATGGATAGTAGAAAGAGGCCAAGATAAAGTTCTTGCCCCAAGTCACATGGCAGGAACATAATGGAGCCAGTATTTGACCCTAGAAAGCTTGTTCCTGGGCCTGTGCTCTTAACCTTTGTACATGCCGTCTCTGAATTGAGGCACATTATGTTAACAGAGAAAGTAAAATTATGTTGCAGGGAATTTTGAGTGAACAGTAGGAGTTTATGATTGCTGTTGTCTTGTTAAATAGCAATAATGTCACAGAATAAGAGTTAAATGCCTAGTATTTCAACTTTTTATTAAAGAAAGCCAAGTATTATCTTCATTGCTTATTGGAATATTGTATGAGTAGAAGAAAATCTTTAGAAATAAGTATTTTCCTGTTCAGTAAATTTATACTTCTTACCCTATCAGAATTTGCATTATCTTAATTGTGATGAAAGTTTTGTTTATAGATAAGTGAGAAATACACCCAAGTAACTCCAAACCAAAGTAGTTCTCCAAAGCACCCATCGTAACATAACATTGCCAAACTTGCTGGTCTATGTGGTACAGCAGTACTTACAGAGAAGTTTGATTTTTTCCCCTTACGTCATTTAAAACTTTGCCTATGGAAATCTTGTAGTAAAAATTTTCAGTTTTATTATTGAAGTTGTTTAAATCTGCTTTACTATTAAATAATTAGAAATTATTATTTTTAATAGGTTTAGAAAAAATTAAAGGCATAGACAAGTCATAATACTTGTCATTACAATTGAAAACTCTTATTCTGTTACTGCATTTTATATGGAATATGTAGGTGAGCCATGCAGGTTGAATTAGAATTACTCAAAATGCATTTTAAAAATCTCTTTGAGAAAGGAACTTTCAAGAGACTCAGGTTTTATTGTTTTTGAAGGATAGTGATGGTCTGTCTCTAAAAGGCTTAGGCTGAAGGTGATTCTTAGGGTCAGGGTACCTTTCCAGTAATTAGCAAACCTCTGTCCCCATTTGTTCCGTATTTATTTTTTATTTCATTAAGTCAGAATTAGAATTTAAAAAAACTTAAAGTTCAACAGGTGGTGGATTTTACGTTTTTAGGAGATCTGTGTGACCTCCAGAAGTAGATTCCCTGTTTATACTTGGTGGAAACACCATCCTTAAACAGGGGAAAGTAAACTTGCACTGGGCTCTGTGCTTTAGACGGCCCTGCTGTCATGTTGCCATTCCCACAGCTTCCCCACTTAGGAGTCTGTACCTTTACTTCTGGACCATGATCCAGGTAACCAATCTTCCAGACTTTTCTTGTGTCTATGCTCCAAGCCCACATCCTCATCCTATGTGGACCTCTTTCCTGGATCTGTCCTCAGGGAAGTTATATACAGCCCTAAGCTTGAATTGTGGCCAGGAAATGGCTCTGCATGAAGTACAGATAGAGCTTGGATGTGCACAGAAAGACCATGTGATGCAGGATGGAGTTGGGGTGGGAAGAAAAGGAAGCCAGCACAGTGATCTGCTCTCCCTGTGCTGCCATAATGCAGTGTCCAACTCTGAGGTGTCCTAGAATTCTTAATTTGAACCTGGCCTTCCGGGTTATTTCAATGATATGTTTGTCAAGGTAGGCAGAGGAAATATATTTGACTTAATAGTTTGTTAGCTGGAATTTTGACTTTTAAATATTTAGATATATGGCATGTATACCCCGTTGGTACTCTTATCCCAGGACCTGGAGATGTTAAGAACGGGTCTGCTTGGTCTCAGTCTAAATGAATCCTGCTGAGATATTTAATGGGAGGAGTTTGCTGTTCCAGAATGTTAAAAGCCATCAGTGGGATCAAATGCGAGGATAAAAACGCATTAAGTTTTGATAATCAGAGCAGGAAATGAGAACTCCCTGTCCTGACCTCAAATGTTTGACACTAAATTTTTCTCATCTTCCGTAGATAAAGTGGAAAAATTGTCTGCAGGTTCTTCCCTTTGAACAACTTGTTATACTAAATGGATAGAACCTTCTTAAATATCAGATTTCCCACAGCATAGAGTTACATGACTAATGTGAATGTCATTGTCCTGGCAGATTATATTTTAAGAACTTATATTTTATTTAACTTTGCATGATCACCAGGACTACCGTGGCTGCAGAAGAGAACTGCTAAGCCCTCATAAGCGGGGACACTGCCATGATTAGGAAGATCTACAACTCCTTAGCATAGCAAACTCATATCTTTGGAAGAATTTCAGGGGTTTCTTTCTATCTGTGTGGCCCATGAACAGGTAGCATCCTTGTGGAATGTAGAGACGTGTTTGCATATGGGCTTGTCAAACCTGATAAAATTTGGGTATCTTTTTTCTTTATTGATACCTTTACTAACTCTTAGTATTTGTACTCTGATTTAATGGGGAAAGTAGAATATGTGTAAAGATACTGATTTTATTCAAAATAGATAAATGTGGGTGACATTGCTTATAGACAGTTCAGATGACTTAATCAGAAATTCAGTTTAATATTAGTGTTAAAGATATGTTGTTGTTGCAGGGAATGATTACTAATTTTTAATATATGTCTTCTTTGTTTCCTACCAGATTTTTATATGACTGTAAACAATTATTGGATTCTAAATGCTAGACAAATAAATTTAACCACGCTTTCTGTAGCTGGAGGATTCCGGGATTACCAAGTTCGTTCAGGACTGACTTTTCTACCAAAATTAAGCCATCATACCAGTGCCTTATCTGTTGTGGTAATCTTTTTTAAGATTCTACTGAAATAGTTACATGATGGACACAGTGGGGCATGAAAGGAGAAGTAATATGTAGTTGCTTGGAAATGATTGCTGAGTTGTTGTAGCATGCTGTGTTGTGCATGTGTGTGTTGTGTGTATGTAAGAGAGAGAGAATATGAAGAAATGAATATGAATATTTGGGGAAGGCAGAAGCATAGATACTTACATCCATAGAAAGTGAACATGATCTTAGAAGCTTTGTGAAAATAACTCTTATTTATGAGGAGTGATTGTTTCTTGTTCAAAATAAGTGCCTGTCTGTTGGTTAGAGGTTAAGTATGAGAAAATGTGGACTAAAGTCCAAGGGCCCCTTGTTATATCTCAGTGGTATTCTATATACAATAGGAGTGGAAGATCAAACATTTCATACTTCTCCTGCATTTCATACATACTCCTTTTAGGACTTATTTATTGTATTTTTAACCTTGAAGCCTTCAGTTAAGATCTTAACTTTTTTAACTCAGTATACATGTCATCTTCAAATATAACTTAATTTCTAAAAAGAAAATTCATAGCATTTCCTTTGCTTTTGAGGTGACAGTTCTTTGTTTCATAGTGTTGTCTTCGTACATGCTCCTCTGCTCAGCTCATGTACTGTCGCCCTACCTTACACTGATGTTCATACTGAATGCTTGCCATACATAGGGCTAAAATTATTAAGCTATTCTGCTCTTACCCACCATTTGCTTATAACTGAAGGAGCTGCAATATAACCATAATAGCTTTGGAACTAAAGTGGTTAATCTCTCATACCTCATTATTAGTATGAATCTTGTTATTTGATGCTGTTTATTTTTGGCAGATATTTGCTAGAAGTTCTCAAAACTCTAAATGTGAACTCCTTAGTAAACATAGATGTTTTTAGTCATATAAAACTGGATGTAACTTATTTCCTAGATTTGGTCTGGAACCTGATGCTGCATTGATACCATGTCCTGCAGCTTTAAAAGAATTTGATCTTTTTAATGGTGTGTGTGTGAGTGCGTGTGCACGCTTCCCTCTATTCTAATCCGTTTGATAATGTATTGTGTTCGAGGCAGCTTATGTATTGAATCTCTGATGAAAATATGTTTTACTCATGGAACTTTCTCAAAGCTGGCTATTGGATAATTTGAGTTTTATTTAGCTTTTAAATATTTAATTTTTAGTCCCTAAATAATCTAGTCTTTTATATATCTACATGTATGTTCTTCTTAAAAAAACAATTATTAAGAAGTAATTTTTTGATGATTATCTCAAGAATGGTTCAATGACATTCACATCCATTGGGGCTGGAGAAATTGTTGAAGTTAGACACTTTAGATGTATCAGAAGGGTAGGCTGAACTGCTGTAATATTCCCTTACACAGGTAGCAGCACTTAAACACAATAGAATTTAACGTTTTATTCATGATTGCCCTAGATGTGCTTTTAAATGGTGGGTGGTTTTTGAAGGGGTCTCGTGAAGGGACCCAGGCTGACAGTGCTCCCTCTTCTTCAGTGCTTTACTTCTAAGATTGCTCTAATCATCACTGTTTCAACCCACAGGAAGTGGGGAGGAGCATTGAGGGGAGCAGTCAGGCCTGGGAAGGGCACGCGTCACTCTTGCTCACATACCTTAGAGAAAACCTAGTCACACCTTAGGGTAAGAGAGGCTGAGACGTGCAGTCTAGCCAAGTGCGCAGGAAAGAGAGAAGTTTCTGGCGGACATTCAGCAGTCTTTACCACAAAGATCACGAGCAACAGCCTTTATTATTTGTGTTGACTTTCCTTTTTTTCAGCTGTAGTGCAGATGCATTCATTACACTGAATGAAAGAAAACCAGTTTTATGTTCTTGTTAATGGTGGATACTGTCTACTGGCGTTCTTACTCTACTGAGCATCTAATATAACCTTAGAACCACAGTGAACTCTGGTTGTCTCAATTTTTAAATTAAGTTGTCAGCAGTAATTCCTAAGTAAGGTAGCTAATGTTTATAAGTTCATTAAGTAAGCTATAGATTCCTCCAACTTTAGTGTGTGTGGAGTCCAAATACACATTGTTGTTTGCAGAGTATAAGGGTGACAATGACTCGATGACTCCTTAGAAGTTATAGATACCACCTTTTTAAAGTTACAAATCCTTTTTTTTAATCTAAAGAGAATGTTAAGCTTCTGTAAAATTTCTTGCATATAGGGCTGATATTTCCTATTTTCATTTTGTTTTAACAGTTCTAGCAAGGGCATCTCATTGTGCCTTTGACAGTGCAGAGAGAGATGCTGTGAAAAATAGTATCAGATTTATTTAATGTTCCCCTGCTGTGTGTAAGATGCTTTTCACAGGGATGTCGTTACCTGGCACGAAAGGGAGTTTCTAGTGCTTGGAGGGTGCTGTACCATTGTTGGGAAGCCTTCTGCAAGTAGTTATGTGTTTTAGTGTGCTTTTACCATTGGTCTCTAACCAGTAGTATGTATCCTAATCATCTAGGGAGTTTTTTTTCTTCAAACTATGTAAGCCTGGACCTCACTTACGAGAGTCTGATTTGGTAGTTTTGTGATCAGGCGTATTTATTTTGAAAAGTCTCCCCAGGCTTAGGTATTTCTCAGGCATATCCTGGTTAGAATTAACATTTTAGAGTTTATCAAGTGATAGTATAGTCAGAACTAAAATTACTAAAATACTGTAATTTATACATGCAGTATGATTCATTAAAGAATCAAACTTGACATCTTATTAGAATAATGAAAAGTTAGACATTAAACTTTAGTAACTTATCTGTGAATGCTTTAATAATCTTTTAAAGGTTAATTTAAGCTTGACTAACCAGTAATGACAAACAGGATTATTTTATGCAGGAAATATCTTAATATTTTTGGATCACCTTTTTATAAGAATGCATCATTTAAAAATATCTATGCATCATAAAATAGTGAAGTTAATGTTACATGTTTTTAATGTTAGCTTATAAGAATTTCAGACCTTTTGGAGAATAACAAAGCTTTTCTTAAGTATGATTTTTTTTTTTCCTTTTCTTTTAGAGTTCAGCAGTGCCTAAGACCTGGGTCTCAACAGACCACCTGTCCATTGTGTGGTAAGTTAATATAACTTATTTTGGTAATTTTTGGTGGTCCTCTTTTTCTCATTAATGAATTGTTTTGTTAGCTTTCTCAGAGCTTTAGCTGTAAACAGAGATTTAGGAAAAAGATTAATTTAGGAGCTTAAAACTCCAGCCTTTGTTCTTGACTCAGTTTGACCAAGGTGCCCTTGACAACCTATAAAATCATCTCCTGAAGAACCAAGTAGTGTCAGTCTTAAATGAAAGTAGTGTCAAATATCAAAATTTTAGACTTTGTCATAGTTGGGCAGAATCAAAGGCACTTGTGGTAGGACTTTCTGAGCTCTTGGCCAGTCACCAGACTCAGGGACTTGAATAATGTGGCACTGACCATTCTAGAGCAGCACATGGGAAACCAAGTCCCTTAATATAAGTAAAAAAATAGATTAAAGAGGGGTCAAGAGATACATAGAACCTAGTATCTTATCTCTATATATTTTGGCTTAAAGATTCTCTTTTCACCTTCCTCTGACTGTGTGCAGTGGTGTCTGCAAGAACCACAACAGTTCAGACATGTGAAGATGGGATAGACAATATGTTTATAGCTGGGGTGGGCACAGAGGTTTAGGGAAGACAGAGAGGGCCCTGACACTTTTGCTCTCAAACATCCAGGAAGATTTAATTTACTTTATTTTTATATGTTTCAACTTTTGAAATACATGCTTAAAAATAATGATCTCTTAAATAATTTGAGTTTACAGCATTAAGAGAAAGTCATATATTCCATTAAATGATAAAATTGTTCATGTTTGTATCAAAAGTATATTTTTAAAGTTTTGTTTGTAACACTTATTTTATTCTTCAGGTGTAAACAATTGCAGTTGACCACAATTCGAGCATTCTTTGATCTTATTGATGCTGATACTAAACAAGTATGTATTTTTAAACTAAAAATTACTTCAGTGAAGTAATAGCTTTTGTTGGAGCAGTGATAGATTTAATACTTTTTTTTACTTTGATGAAAATAGGAGTCTATACTTTATATTGACTGAACTTGGTTTCAAAATGGAAATAATTTTATCTGATAATACTTTGATCACTGTTAATAATTAAGACTGCAATAAAAGTGAAAAAGTGAAAGGATACCTTAAATCTTCCCCCAGTCCCTTCCCTATGCTGTTTAAAATTTGGTATGTGTCCTTCTAACTTTTTTACCTTAAGGGAAATACTTACTGCAAGTATCCTTATGCAATAGGATCAAAATATCTACATTCATTGAATAACACAAGCTCATCAGAACTTAAATTATGTACTTCTAGAGTCAACTTTCTGTATTGAGATTTTACATATAAACTCTCCAAACCAGTGATTTTCTGAGTTGTTCAGTTAGCAGGACACCTGGAAATCATATTCTTCTTTCATCTCTTTCTTGTCTGCTAGCAGATAAACAGTAATGGGCATCAAGGATTTCAGCAAAATTTTGAGAATTCTATTAACTTAACTCTATTAACTTTTTTTTCTGTGAATTGAGAACAGATGGCCATTATTCATCGTATGAAGCCTTTCACCTCACCTCAGGTCATTTTGCAGTGCATCACTGTGCCGTGGAAGTATGTTTTGATGACTATGGCTCTGGCTTCCCGTTTTAGGGAAAAAATTCTTTGTGTTTTAGGTAATTTTTTTCCATTATGGCAAAGTATTGCAGCCCAGATATTTTTTAATTCTTTCCCCTGAAGGCTTCAGTTCTTTGAGACTGTTTATTATGTGTGGTTTCTTTCTCAGTAGATCTCTAGGTAATGCTCTCCTTATCCTTTGTCTTAACCTTGCTCCTGTAGCATTCTCTTTTGGGAGTGGGGTACTATCTGCATTTTTTTCCTTAACCCTTCGTGAAGCTACATAACAATTATTAGAGACAATAATAGATACTTAGCTCTTTCTTGAAGAATGCAATAAAAGACCCAAATTGTTCTTTCACCACATTTTAAACCACCAGATACTATATTTAAGTTAGTATACTTATTAAAGTAAATCAGCTTCATAGAGTTAACACTGTGGAATCATGTTGTCATGAATGCAAACATTTTGCAGGTGTTCAACCTTGTTTTAATTATGAGTGTTAACTATGGCAAATCTTTTTAGTCTGTTTGACTAGATACCATAATAGGATCACTTAGAATTTGTATTTGACCAGTTTGTATTTGAAATGACATTCAGTAGGTTTAGGAAAAAACCCATTTGAAACAATGAAGAACAAGTGCATCTCAGATATATTTTTAAAAATTGTACATAAAACTGATTTTAATAAATCTTGTTTTCTGTTAAATTCTAAGATGACAAAACTAGTACTCACATGTAATAAATTATAATTCTGAATGGATAAGTATTTTACAGACACATTTTAAGAGACAGATGCAAAATTTTTGATAATTCTGCCAAGAATCAAAATATTATGAAACTAAGTTCTATTTCACAACTCACTGTTTATGATAGGCTAAATACTAGATAATCAAATATTAGGATATGATTCCTACTCCTCAAGAAGCACATAGTTTAAGAGGAAAAGCAAGCATATATACTAGGAAACTATAACTCAAAGTGTAATTAGTCTCAAACATGTGGTACTAAGAAATCAGAACTAGAGAGTAGTTTTTGATGGTTATCAGCGTAAAAGTCAGAGCTGAAAACTTGTGAATGGGTGGATTCCCTAGAAAGTCAATAAGAAAGGGAGAGTCTGACTTAACTGAACTTTTGGTAGAGACACCTATGATTTTAATTGTTTACAAAACAGATGTGGCTGCTTAAAAAAACCCAAAAAACTAATTTTGTGTTAGACTGAGTTGATTAGCGTATAGGATTTGCATCAGTGAAGATAAAATTACACTCTTCTCCACTCTAGTTATACAATATCTACAGAACTGTATTCTGTTTAGTATGTTGTATTTTAAGAGGGACATCAACAAGCTTCAGTTTATCCTGGGAGGCAGAGTAGTGAAGGGTTTGAAACAGTCCTATGAAAAACAGTTAATATTTTTTAAGTTGTTTGATCTGTAGAAGAGATGTTTCATTTGGATGGGGGATATTATAACGGTCTTTAATTTTTGAAGAGCTATCCCCTGAACTAATGCATCAAAGTAACAGGGAGTCAGATATTTGCTCTGAATAGGGCAGAACACTCTCCTTGTAAGAATTCTTAAAATTGAAATGTCCTGTCTTACAAAGTAGCAAGTTAGGAATGTTCAAGCAAATGCTGGATGACTTCCTAAGGAATTGAAATGATTAGTGGACCTGAGTCCTCACTGTCATTTCTTTGTCATTCTCTTGCTGTATTGTTATTAAGAAAATCACTTACCTGTCAGGGCTTCAAAACTTAAATTAGAATATTGAATAGTGGTAGATTTTAAATGGATTTTATACTCCAGTGCATTTTCTTTTAAGGGAGGGATTGATAAAAAGTTGACAACGTTTATTATGTTAGATTGTTTAAAAACAGACAACAGAAAAATTCAGTTGTCTATCCTCATTTTCATTTCATGAAAGAAAGGATGTTTTGATGCAGAGAAAGTAAGTGGGACAGAGTAAAGCAAAGTAGTTTCCAAGAAGAGGCAGTTGGCAATTCATATTTTCTCTAATGGCCAGTGAATTCTGTGTTACGAGATTGGCACTGATTTGAGTTTGGAAACTAGAATATTGGAATCACTAGACCAGAGGATCTCTTAAGTTCTCTTCTGATTTTATACATCTTTATGTTTTTATTTTTAACTGGTACTTGAGGGGCACTATTGCATGGTGGTTAACGATATGGGCTCTGGATCCAGGCTGCCTGAGTTTGAATCCTGGCATAGACTCTTTGATCTTGTGTACTTTCCTTCATTTCTCATGTTTTAATTTCATCATATTTAAAATGCTGTTAAAAGATTATCATCTCCTAGTGTTCTGGTGGTAATTGAGTTAATAACATGTTGAGCACTTAGAATAGTGCCTCGTCCAGCATAAGTAACTGTTGGCTCTTATCATTATTACTTGAAACCAAGTTTCATTAAGTCATCACAGTGGTTATAAAAGGATACAGAATGTATCAATGTTCTTTCTAGATAACTCAAAATCCCAAGAAGAAATTGTCGGTGTTGAATCACCACTTTATAAGACACCCAGCAAAACACTTTGAGGAAAATCCATCAATAATTTCTGACTTAACAGGTTGGTGGTATAAATATATTTTAATTTTAAGTGGAGTTTTGATTATTATTTTTAGGTAAATTTGTTTTTAGCAGACAGTCTTTAAAGCTGCCGTGCTTCATGTTTAATAATCCTATTATATTTTATTAATTTCTCTATGGTGGTTTCTTATGAGGTTCTTGGCTAAGGAGGGAAAAAGTAAAAAAGCCATTTGTAAGATGTTGCTGATAAAAATTTTGTACTGAAAGTAACATGACAGTAGAAAAATTTGAAGAGTTAAATGTCTCTGTTTTCATAACAGCCAGGTAAAATAAAATAAAATGCTATATTCTTGATTTAGTTTCTTAGTATCATTCTTCAGTCTTTTGGTTTAACAGCATATCTTTTGCTGGTAAATTTTGCTTTTAAATGTATCTGTCATACTTTACATAGTTTGGAAAATGAAATCTGTGTTTCCTTCTGTTGATTCTTCCTACAGTTAGACACCAAATAGATTTTAAATACTTTACTCGGTGTGAATGCTAGTTGACAATGAACATGTCGAGAACATCTCACGAGATTTTCTGTTTAAAATAGCCAGTGTTCAGGAAACTGCTTCTTCTTCAAATCCTGTTATGATTGAGAAGTATTCAGTAAAAGAAATCATTTAATATTAAAAAAAGGCCAAATAAGTTAATTTCTTCTACCTTAGGGACATCTATGTGGGTTCCAGTAAAAGTTTCCAAATGGACCTATGTGGCTTACAATGTAAGTATACCACCAATGGATTTAAATTTTTTTTTTAATGTTTTAGTATTTATCTTTCAAAGTTACATTCTTTTAAGAAGATAGCCATGTCATTTTCCCATATTAAATCAATTTAATAATAATTCCTTAATAATAAATATCTAGTCAGTGTTCAATTTTTCAGTTTTATCATAACTGTCAAATTTTTTGTTGTTTCTTTGTTTTTTAAGTCAAGCTGCAAAAAAGGTCTACATACTATTTGTTGATATGTCTTTTGTTCCTCTTTTAATCTCTAATACTTTTTCCACCTGTCTTGTTTTCCCTGCACTTTTGTTGAAGAAACCGAGGCATTTGTCCTATAGAGTTTCACAGTCTTGATTTTGCTGATTGCACTCCTGTAGTGTCGTTCAGTATATTCCTTTGCCTATTCTTTTCCTGTGACTTAGTAGTTCTATCTAGGTGCTTCATCAGATTCAGGTTTTTGTTTAGTTTTTGTTTTTGCTAGACTCTCTCTCTCTCTTTTTGTGATGCTAGCAGCTGTTGGTAAAGAAGGCCTGGAGTGACTAATTCATTTGGGGGATGCAAAAGGAATGGTATTCTGATTATTCCTTCCTCATTTTTTAACTGGAACTCTGTAGAAAAACTTCTCACCTACTAAATTTATCAAAAATGGAACAGATTACAAAGGGAAAAAATGATCACTGTTTGGATCTTAGGATCTTATATTTACTGGTTTTCAGAGTAGTGAGTTGGCTCACAAGCGTCCTCCATCAGTGACCATAGAATGTTTGGGGGGATTTTCCTCCAGTATTATGATGAACTTAGACATACTTGTGTTTCTGTCTAAACTAAAATACTAAAATTGTTCTATCTTTGATACTAAAATTGATACTAAAATTGTTCTGTCTTTGACCAGTGGAAGCCATTGCAAGGTAGGCTCCTGACTCTTTTTGATGTAGATGCTCTTTAGTTGTCTTTGGTATTCTCCTCGCTGTCTAGTATGAGAACGTATTTTAGCTCACTGTGTGACATTTGCAGTCCCAGACCTTGAATCTGCTTTTTCTCTAAGGATCTCTTCCTATTATTGGGGAAACAGTGTCTAAAAACCGTAATTTAGGCACTAGGGATGTTTATAGCTAGTGAGTTAGAGTATCTAGGCTTTTCAGTGAACAGAGCTAAGAAAGAAATGTATTTTATCTTGCTCATGAGGTCAAAAACCAAACCCAAACAAAAACATACATTCATACTGATACTTCCAAGTCCAATTCAGTACTTGTGTCTGTATCTTCTTCCCATTCCCAGAATATTGGTTCTCAGCAACAGCAAGAATGATAGAATTAAAATACTTAATTAGAATTAATTAGAATAATTACTCATTGCTTTATCTGAATTTTTTATGATGAAATTATCTATTCTTATGATAGTTTTATTGTGTTTTCCCTCTTTTTTTAGGAATCTGATAAGATATATTTTACATTTCCCCTTGCAAATCATAGAAAAATCTACACTCATGTCTATTGTCAGAGCACCATGCTGGTAAGATAACTGGTACATTTTATGTAAATTTAAAAGGCTAGCTATTCTTTAAGATTCAACTAATATCTGGTAGATTTTATCTTTAGCTATGAACTATTAATAAATCTAATGAATTGAAAAACATTTTTCTGGAACAGCGTTTTGATTAAAAAGTACTAATCAGAATGCTTCTGTAACTGATAATATACTATTAATTTGTACCTTTGCCTCTAGTTTAGGTCGTCAGTCCTGTCTTTCTACCTTAGTTTTTCACTATGTTTAGGATGAAGGAATTCACTGCAGAGCTCTAATTCTAAAATTCTATCAGTACTTTAGAGAATAGGTATATTTAAGCACAGCTGTTCTGTAAGAGTTTTATGAAGTAAATCCTGTTTTTCATTGGCTTCC